TAGTCAAGGGGCTTACAAGTCTGGCTCCAGGTGTGAGGTTGGGCTCGTGGATGGACCTTGAGGACATTATGCTAAGTGAAGTCAGCTAGTCACAAAAAGACAAATACTGTATGATTCCACTCGGGTGAGGTATCAGAGTGGTGCAAATCATGGAGACAGAAAGTAGGAAGGTGGGGGTGGGGGAAGGGGGAGGAGAAATGGGGAGCTAGCATCCAGTGGGATTGGAGGTCCAGTTTTACAGGGTGAGTGCTGGAGAAGGATGATGATGAGGGCTGCACAACCATGTGTACGTGCTTAATGCCGCTGAACCGTACACTTGGAAATGGTTAAGATGGTAAATTTTATGTTGTATGCATTTTACCGCAGGAAAACAATTTGGGAAAAAAACTTACCTGGAAGATTTAGCTTTTTTTTTTTTAATTAATTTATGTATTTGAAAGAGAGAGAGAGAGAGAGCAAGTCGGGGGGAGGGCAGAGGGAGAGGGAGAGAGAGAATCTCCAGCAGACTCCCCGCTGAGCGTGGAGCCTGACACGGGGGGCTCCCTGACATCATGACCTGAGCCAAAATCACAAGTCGGATGCTTAACCAACTGAGCCACCCAGGCACCCCAATATTTAACATTCTTATAAGGGAACCATGACAAATAATGGTCCCCTTAGGCTGAATTTGTAAGTGCCAGAGTCAGTTGGGTATTTAAAGCATCAGGGATCAGGGAAAGAGACTTCGTGTGCTGCTCTGAAGGACGGTGAACTTCACTCTGGGTGAGGTCTCAGACATGTACCTCGGAAGCAGAATTTATTTGTTTCTTTGATTTTGTTGTTGTTTTTTGACCTTTGCGTCTGAAATGCTCTACTACCCATGGAAGCTGGGTAGGTCGATAGAGCATGTGACTCTTGCTCAGGGTTGTGAGTTCAAGCCCCATGTTGGGCATGCAGCCTACTTAAAAAATTGTGAAATGCTCATGGATTATTGCGTTTGAGGCCTGGGCCAGCTAACATCTCAGGAGGCCTGGGGGCTGTCTCCTTGTGGGGGTTGATTGGAGTCTCTCTAGCCATGTGCAGTTTCAAAGTTGCATTTGAAGCAAGCCAGGCACCAGGAGTTGAGATGGGGAGGATGATGAAGCAACTCAAGAAGGGAGGGGGAGGGGGTGATATGGAACATTAGCAGTCAGCTGATTCGAGGACTGTAAATCATGCCATGATTGATTAGTGATGTCTGTCACTGATGGGAGAGGGCTTGGCATCAACGTGCATGCCAGAAGAAACCCATCTGTAGCACACAGCATTGCACTCTCAGAGACCGCTTTACTTAAATACAAAGAATCTCAAGTCCAGACTTCACTGAGGTCACAAGGCAAGGTCACTGTGGCAAGAGGAAAACACAAGCTTGAGGAAGACAGTGGAAGTTTATTAAAGTGGAAGTCAGTTTGGCAGACACTTCTTAGGCAGTGAGCAAAGAGCCCTGGGGGACCAGGGAGGGGACCAGAGACCCTGCCAGCTAGGGTCTCTGATCTAGTGTAGGAGAGGGATCGCTTGATGGAGTGAGAACTGCCACAGGTGGGCTCTGCTGCCACACGTCACCTGCTTGGGTGGTAAGTTCAGGACAGAGCAAGGTGACTGTAGTTTGGGAGGTGAGATGAGCTTCCTGGAGGAGCCAAGCTTTGAAGGAGAGGGGCAGGCGAGGAGCAGGATGGGTTGGTAAGACACTGTCAGTAATGAAAGGGATTGTGGGAACATGGGACGGGACAGGTGTGGGTAGGAAGCACCCAGTGCATGGAGCCGCCGTCTGGCACCATATGGAGAGGCTTATGGCCCTAAGTAAACGTGGTTAATTCACAGGAGGATTGTGGCACAGTGGGAGGAGAAGGAGCTCTCAGGGCACGGGGGGAGGGAAAATGTTTTGTCACCTAGAACCTAGGGCTTCTGGCTGGTGGTGCCACTGGGAGGGGCCAGTCCCCATTTTATTGATAAGGTCTGAGGTCATGCACCACTCCCCTTTGTTCCCTCAGCACCCCATTGACTGCCCTCCCTTTTCCCTACACCCCCTCATTGTCTCCTGCTGGTGTCTGTGAGGGACTGAGCACTTGGGCCCCTCTGCTGGGAGGCTGAGCTACTCAACCTTTCCACCAGCCAGTGTGTTCCCTTTCCTTCAGATTGATTAAAGGCTGAAATGCACCTGCAAACTCCTCACTCTCCCTGGAAACTAGGTTGGTTTCCACGTGAGGGGCTGGTGAGTCGGGCAGGCTGAGTATGATGCAGTAAGGGAGGAGAGCGTGCTCACCAGCTCTGACCAACGTGAAGAAAATGAGGAGAATCAAAACCAAAACCACACCCCCACATCATGGGCCTTCTCTGTCAAGGTGCTGGTATCTCCGTTTGCTGGGAGAAGCACAGGGGTGGGGTCACTGAGCCTGCTTCAGGTTCATTTCTCGTCCACTGGGGCTTTGTTCAGCGGGCTCTGGGGCGATGTTGGCTGTGGTCTGCAGGGGAGTGGCCACCAAGGAAGATAGTAGATGGGGCTTTTCAGGGGCTGGCTCCTGGGGAGGTGGATGTTGGGAGTCAGAGACCAGCCCAAGCTGGCCTGGATCTGGGCTTGTCTGCCCAGGCTGCTGTGTTTGTAGGATTTGGGAGACCCTAGCCCTCAGGTGTTTGGTGTGACAGGAGAAGGTCATGGGGTTGGGTCAGGGGCAAATGCTGACTGCAGGAGGAAGGGACACAACTGACCCACCCTCACAAAGGGAGTTTGTAGAGAGAGGGATGGTTGATTGCCATATTATTTTGCTAGGGCTGCTTGATTTCACGCTTCTGACCCCCAAACTGGGTCAACCTAGTGAAAGGTATTGTCATCCCACAGTTCTGGAGTCCAGAAATCTGAAATCAGGGTGTTGGAAGAGCCATGTATCTCTGTGAAGGCACCAAGGAAGGATCTGGTCCAGGTCTCTCTCCCAGCTCCCAGTGGTTCCTTGGCTTGTGGCAGCATGACTCCGATTTCCCCATGGCGTCCTCCCTCTGTGCGTGTCTATCTCTGTGTCCAAATTTCCTCTTTTTATGAGACCAGTCATATTGCATTAGGGCCCACACATATGACCTCATCTTAACTAATTCCATCTGCAACCACCCTATTCCCAAATAGAGTCACATTCTGAGTACTGGGGGTTAGAACGTCAACATACGCATTGGAGGGGGGCCACCATGCAAGCCCAACAATCACTGAGGAATACTTGTGGGGCTCCTAGGAAGTCCTGGCCAGCACAGAGTGGAGACAGTTGGAGACCACCAACTCACCCAGGGCTTGGGGCTCCTGAACACTCCCCAGGCTGCTGTGCTCCATAGAGGCCCTAAAGTTACCTAGAACATCCTGTTGTGTCCTACCCTTTCCACACTCCGTCCCCTTTGCCAGGATGACCCTGTCCCTGCTTTTCCCTCTGCTTGCCTGGCCCTCCTGAATACTTGCAACCCCTGCTCAGGAAAGTTGTCTGTGCTACTGTGGCCCCTTGAATCAGTGTACATTGTCTTGTAATTACTTATTACATGTGTGTCATCATACACCATTCTTTGCAGGTAGGGCCTGTGATTTTTCTACTTCTGTGTCTTCAGTGTCTGGCCAGGCCTAGGTCCATGGATAGGTCTCAAAAGAAGATTGTCCAGTGTAGGAGCTAAAGGACCTGAGACATGGCAGGTTTGGGGAGAGAGCAGTCATAAAGACAGGGAATACTACCAGGAATCTAACCAGGAGGTCCTAACACACATGGAAAATAGTGCACATATCACGTGCATACAGTTCAGTGGATTTTCACAAGCTGAACACATTTTTGTAACCAGCACCCAGATCAAGAAACAGCACATTACCAGCCCCCACCCCATACCCCCTCTGGAGTCCCCTTCCAGGTACTATCTGAATTCTGTCTCCACAGGTTAGTTTGGCTGCTCTCGAACTTTATGTAAATCGAATCATAGAGTTGGTACTTTTTTGTGTCTAGGTTCTTTTGTTCTACTTTGTGTTAGGAGGAATTTACTTATGCTGTTTTAATGTGTTCATTCTCCCAGCTGGGTAAAATTCCAGTATGTGAATTATACCACAATTTATGTGTCTGGTCAACTGCTGGTAAGCATTTAGCTGGTTTCCAGTGTGGATGTGTTATGCATAGTCCTGCTGTGCACCTCTGTGCTTCATACTGTTAGTGAACATTTGTGCACATCTCAGTTGTGTTAGTACCTGGGCATGACTTCTGGGTCATAAGGCATGCACACGCCCAGGTGTACTGGAGGTGGAAGTGTTGTTTGTAAGGAGTGTGATGATGAAAGTGGCCTGTAGGGGTAACGAGGGATGGATGACATCAGGAATGAAGGCACGTTGCTGGAGAACTTGGGGAGATCATCAGCCAAGGGGCAGAGAAGTCAAATTATAGAAACTGGATGGAATAAAGTGCTTTCTGTCTACGGGATGTATCATGTAGGGAACATTGGGGGGACGAAGACTGGAGCGGGTTGACTTAGAGAATTTAATCCCTGGTGTAGCCTTGGTCAATGGGGGCTTCTCAGTGCTGATTTTGGGAAGTGGGGGCTTAACTCCAGAGGAAGTCAGCGCCTCTATACAGACCTGCTACCATGTCTGGCTTTGCAGAGCCTCTGTGCCTGGGAAGAAGCCACTGCTATAAGGCTGCAGCTCAATAGCGTGGCAGCTTTGAGGACAGAGCCAGGGGCTGGGGGCAGCAGAGACCCAGGCTATTTCTGTACCTGACTGCACAGGTGTCAGACACCATCGAAGGGAGGGCCTGTGCCTGGGGGATGCCAGGGGTCCTTATGACTCTTACTGGGCGCACCAGCCAGGATGCTCACTCCAGTGGCTCTCTCCAGCCCACAGGCTGCCCAGAATGACCACCCGAGGCGGGAGAGGGAAGGCCTCTGCAGCCCTCTCTGGGAATGGGCCTTTGCCCACTTGTTCTCAGTGTCCTGACCTAGCAAATAATACCACCCTTCTCATCCCCTGTTTCTTCCAGAATGGCAGCAAAGACAACTCTCTGGACATGCTGGGCACAGATATCTGGGCTGCCAACACCTTTGATTCCTTCAGGTAAGCTCCTCTTGTTCTTGTCTGTGCCATATGCCTCTGGCTGGGATGCCAGCTCCTTGTCCTTATAGAAGCGCCGTGGGGTCTTTAGAAGTTGAGTAAATGGTGAGTGTTCACTGATCAAGAAGTGTAGAGAAACAAAGAGGGGGTGAAGTAGAAAGGATGAGACTGCTGAGGAAGGAGGTCAGAGAGAGAGAGAAGGAGATGGAAGGAAGGAAAATAAGGGGAGAGCGTCCAAAGGAAAGAGAGAAAGAGAAGGGCGAGGAGGCTGAGAGAGGGTTAAGGGGAAAGAGAAGACACGCTAACGGTCCACCCACAGGGAAGAGGGCGAGAAGGCAGAGGAGTGGACCGGTGGTTGGAAGAGCAAAGGAGAATGGCACGTGGCACACACCAGGCAGCCTGTGTTAGAGCCAGGGACAGATGGCTGTGACTGCAGTTACCCGCCCCCCCGCCCCACTCCCGGGGTCATAGGCATCGGGGGAGATGGCTGCAGGGAGATCTGGAGGAAGGAAGGGTTGTCAGTGGTTCAGATTCTAGAAGGTTCCTGATGGGCCAGGTTGGAAGAACAGGTATTGGCCAGGGTTACCTCAGTATGTGGGGATGGTGCCCCTGAAAGGTTTGCTGATGGGTACCTACCATATGTTCACTCCTCTGGAGAGTGATAGCTTCGGACTATGGATGGCAGTGGCCCTTTAGCTCTACTCTGCCCCTGGCTTGGAGCTGGCCGACACTGGGCGTGCTCCAGGCACACCCCTAGCTCAGACTCAGAACGGAAGCACCATGGTCTCCTGGGACTGGGGCTGGTGGCAGCCGGCCTCCTGCCGTGTTGACTGGCCTCATCTACCTCAGAGCTGCCTTGCCGCCACTTTGAGCTGCTATCAGAAGCTTCAGGTTTTTGGCCTCCTTTTTCTCCAGCCTTCCTCAAATGTAGGTGTGAAAGCAAACTCTGAAGTGTTTTAGGGGACCGCTGTAGGGTAGGCATCAGACTGACACTTGTGTTTTATAGGCCCGCATTATTGCGCAGCAGCGTTGAGGAGAGGTGGGGGCTTCGCACACAGCGTCCTGCCCCTTTGTCTGTGAGCACAGAGCTGACACCACAGCCTCCATTCCAAGTGAGGGGTCTCTGTCCACCCTGCCCTTGGCTAGCGGGGGCCTTCCCCGTCCGGCCCACCTCTTTGTGAGGACACTCCCTGTGTCCGCTTGTCTGGTCCCCATCAGTAACTGGGCTGGTCGCCCCCTTACGTCACTTCCTCACCTTTTCTCATCCTCTAGCGGTGCCACCTGGGACCTGCAGCCTGAAAAGCTGGACTTCACCCAGTTCCACCGGAAGCTGAGACACACGCCCAAGCAGCCCTTGCCACATATCGACCGGGAAGGGTAAGGAGTGACCAGGGGCTCTTACATGGGGGTGGGTGGGTTTGCAGCCATCCTGGGGTCGAGAGGGGCCTTCCCCTGGGCAGGCAGGCATCTCTGCTGAACTGGGGACACATAGGTGGCTGATGTCCAGAGAGGCTCTCCACCTAGAACTACAGGCTCACTGGCCTCTCTCCAGAGTCCCTCCACGCTTCCCTGCCCAGCCCCCTGCATCCACGGCCCCTGCTCCCCTCTGTGACCACCGCAGCTCTGCTTGTCAGCCATTGAGTGCAGTGGGTCTCACATTTGATCAGGACCCCTGGGAGACTTATCAAAACAGCCAGAACATCCTAAACTCCGATTCAGAAGTTCTGGGGTGGGGCCTGAGAATGTGCATTCCTAACAAGTTCCCAGGGGATGCTGGTGTTGCTGGTCCAGGGACCGCACTTTGAGAACCACTGATGTAGTGTTTGATTGTATACTGGGTTGTCTCATCCTCTGCTTTTGTCATGTATCAGTGTTGCCTTGTTCTCTTAATGACGTGTCTTGGCCTGGGCCGACCTCAGGACGGCAATGTGACTGACACAGGGAATGAGACAGATGGGGTTTTTTTTCCCTTTCTTTTTAAAATGATTGTTATTTACTTAGAATTCATATAACAACACATTAACGATTTTAAAGTGTTCAATTTAGTTTCGTTGTGTATTTCCATAATATGGGGTAGCTACCACCTCCCTGTAGTTCCAAAACATTTTCAACGCCCCAGAATAGAATCAGATCCACTAAGCAGTTACACCCCAGCCCCCTCTTATACCTGGCAACCACCCATGTGCTTTCTGTTTCTGTGAATTTACCTCTTCCAGATATTTATAGAAATGGGATCATATGTGGTCTTTGGGCTCTGGCTTCTTTCACTCAGCATATTTTTGAGGTTCATCCACATTGTAGCATCTATCAGCACTTCATCCCTTTTTGTGGCTGCATAATATTCCGTCACATGGCTCTATCCCTGTTTGTTCATCCATTCATCTGCTAATGGGCCTTTGGGTTCTTTCCACGCTCTGGCTATTGTGAATGATTCTGCAATGAACATTCGTGTACAAGTATTTGTTTCAATCCCTGTTTTCAGTTCTTTGGGGTGTGAGCCTGGGGATGAAATTGCTGAGTCATGCGGTCCAATTCTGACACCAGTTCTGAAGCGTGTGTGGTTTTTTCCCCACCACCACCAAGCAGTTTTCTGGTATCAGCTGAGTATCCTGCAATTTGGCTCAATTCTGACACCATCTACCTGGAAAAAAGTGTCAGACCCCACAGGCTGAGAATTCAGTCCTACACATTGTCCCCTCCCTGCACTGCAGATGCCAGTCAAAAGGCCAGGCTGTCACCTGTACTTCAGATCTCTGGCTCTAGTTTGGGGGTTCCAGTGACCCCCTCCATGACTTCTATTGATTTGCTGGGGGTGGAGGTGCATGGGAGTTGGGAAAACACTGTACTCAGTAGATGACTGGTTTATAGAAAAGGATGTAACTCAGGAAGAGCCAGATGGAGGAGAGGCACAGGACGAGGGATGGGGAAGGTGCCGAGCTCCCTGCCCTGTCCAGAGCGCCACTCTCCCGGAATCTCCCCGTGCTCTCCACCCAGACGCTCTCCAAAGCCTCTCCTTTTGGGCTTTTGTAGAGGCTTCATTACACAGGAGTGATTGATCGAATCATTGGCCACTGGCGATTGATTCCAACTTCAGCCCCTCTCCCCTCCCTGGAGGTCAGAGTCGGGACTGGAAGTTCTAACCCTCCATCATATAGTTGGGTCCCCTGTCAAGTAGCCGCCTCCCTTAGGTTCCCTAGATGTTTTTGCAAAAGTCGCTTCATTAACATAACAAAAGACACCTTGATCTCTGTCTTGGCTTAAGAAATTCCAGGGATTTTAGGAATTCTGTACCAGGACTGGGGACACAGACCAAATATATCTTACATAAATCACAATACCACACGTGGTAATTCCATGTTTTAAGTTTTTGAGGAAATGGCCACATGATTTTCCACGAAGGCTGAATATTTTGCGTTCCTACCAGCAATATTCAGGGTTGCTGATTTTTCCACATCTTAGCCAACACTGCTTGTTCTCCTTTTTTTTTTTTTTTATTATGCCGATGGCTTTTACTTTTCCTTCCAATCCCTTCCTGTCCACTCCCGCCTCCCGTCACTGCAGATCTAAACATAACTGGTATTATTGTATATTAAACATAACTGCCTCTCGCCTGCTCCCTACCCCACCCTCGTGGGCACCCCCTCTCTGGCCACCCTGGTCTCACCAGTGTCATGAACAACAGCCTAGGGAGGGAGATGCTCTTGTCCCTGTTGCAGAGATGAGAGAAATGCAGCTCAGAGAGGCAGACTAACTTGCCCAAGTGGAAGAGCCGTGATTTAAGGCCTTCTGACACCATCCAGTGCCCAGGTCACCATACCAGAGTATCTGTGAATCAGCTTAACCCCCTTAAAATTTCATGCAAAATCACGTGCTTGTATAAATTTTTCTGGGGACAGACCCATCACTTGCCTCGTACTCTCCCAGGAGACCCCAGCCTCTCACCACGGCCCCTTTTTCCATCATCCTTCCTGTGTGGGTTCCATCAGAACTTCCAAGAGCATTTTTTGCTTGGGTCGAGAGGGGAGATGGCCTTCAGCATGGAGGCGCCCTATTAGAGTGGGACAGAGCAGAGGCGAGACCGGGCCTCCCCAGGTTCCTGGGCGATCGTGGGTGTAGCATCCAGTGGCCTCCTTGTGGGTGAGGCAGGAACTGTGGCATCCTTAGAGTCCAGCCATACTGGGGGCGGACTCCACGTGCCCAGCCACTGCAGCATCCCTTGGAAGCAGGGTACCAAGGTTGGTTGCCAAGGCTTCCTGCAGCCCATGTTTCCGTGGAGGGACAGAAATCAGAGCAGGCTGTTGCCTTGGAAACCCTGTTGGCAGCAGTGACTCAGCTGGTTGGTAGCAGCCTTCTGCCCTCCGAACCTGCAGTCCCTCCAGGGAGTTCCGAACCCCAGACAGGACGGTCTAGGAGGACGGCAGCCCACCCTGCACACGGTCCCCTGCCGCCCCCAGGGGCTGCCGAGGCGCCTGTGCTGAGCTAAGCTGGTGCATAGCGTGTGCTTGGAGCTCGGGGCTGCTGGGAGTCCAGACGTGGGGGATAGTGTACGTGATCGGGGGTGAGGGTGTCAGCCATTCCGGTCAGCCAGCGGTCCCCAGCTTCCACACCTCCCACTGCCAGGGTGCGCATGCAATACAGATGCAAGCCACTGGTACCTTCACCAGCCTGCCTGTAGTTAAAAGGTAGCTGGGTGCTTCCAGACCCTTCTCCGCCTCCTTACCTACATGCAGCCCGGGGCATCAGGAGGCGGGGGTGGGGGCGGCGGGAGCAAGAACTCTCCTCTTTTCCCTCATGCCCTTCACACCCTGCTTACACCCCTCCTGCCCCAGCTGCACCTCCCAGAACCGGAGCTGTCCTTCCAGCCCCGGCCCTCTAGCACCATCTTGCCCCTTTACCCACCCCCCCCCCCACCCCCGCCCCCCCTCCCCTTTCAGGAAGGCTGACATCCCAGTTGGCAACATACTCGGGCTGAGCTCCAGGCCATTGCCTTGCTGCCCTCTGCCCAGGACATTTTCCCGAGTTCTCTGCTTGGCCAGCTCATGACCCACCTCCCTCCCTCTGCCCCAGACCATTCTGGATGCCTCTGGACGGTCTGGGCAGCATTCCTGTCGGTTCCTGGGCTGCCCCCAGTTGCCCTGAGAGGCCCAGTCTATGCATTGTTTACACTGGGGCCCAGCCTGAGCCAGAGCCCACACAGAAACACTTGTTGAACGGGGGCATAGCTCACGTCCTCTGCCCTCTTCCACCCAAGCCTTGCTGGGCTATGCAGCCACCCTGGCTCCGCCTTCTGTAAGGCTTCCCTGATGCTTATCACATGCTGCCCCCTACTGGTGGTCGGGCTCACTGCCCTGTCAGATGAGTTTAGGATTTGTTTCCCAAGAGCTGTGAGTTGTGGACGGCAGGAACTACACCAGATTTATTTTCCATGACTCCATGGGAGGTTAACAAGGCCAAAAACACAAGAGATGCTTGGCAAATACTGAACAAATAAATGCTCTGAAATTTGAGAGTTGCATTAATTCTGCAGCTGGAAAATGCCACGGCCATCACATCGGGCAGCCCTCACCATGCCTGGGTCCCTAATAATAACAATGAGAGCAGTGGTCACTAATCCGTCCCGGGCACCGTTCCAAGTGCTCAACTCATATTATTTAAAACTCACCAAACCCTAGGGAGGCAGGAGCATTATTATCTTCACGTCAACAGATTGCGGGAACTAGGAAGCACAGAGAAATGAGTAACTTACGTGGGCTGAGGTCGGCTCCAGGGTCTAGACTCTTAATCAGTCTCCGTGCTGGTGCTCTCTCCCCTGGCAGCAGCCACAGCGAAACAGGGGCGCCTGGGTGGCTCAGTCGTTAAGCATCTGCCTTCGGCTCAGGTCATGATCCCGGGGTCCTGGGATCGAGCCCCGCATCGGGCTCCCTGCTCTGCGGGAGGCCTTCTTCTCCCTCTCCCACTCCCCCTGCTTGTGTTCCCTCTCTTGCTGTGTCTCTCTCTGTCAAATAAATAAATAAAACCTTTAAAAATAAAAAAAGTAGCAAAACGGTAATAGTAGGAGTACTAGTAAGATAGTTGTAAACAGTATTATTATTAGGAGTAGTAGCCCTAGTGGTAGTAATGTATTTACCATATTATTTATCTTACTATAATTTGATGTGATTATTACCCATATTTACCATAATAATATGTTTACCATTAAATACGGTATGTAAATATGGTTGTATATGTGGGGCTGTGTGCGTGTGCGAGCAGGGCATGATTGTAAGCACTTAGATACGTTAACTGGTTTAATCCTCCTACCACCTTAGTTAGACACTACTAATGATCCCCATTTTACAAATGGGGAAACTGAGGTCCAGAGAGGTTACATGACTTGTATAGGGTCACCCAGTTAGTAAGGGATGCAGCTGGGGTTCCAGCCTGGCAGTCGGGTCCCAGAGTCTGCACCTTCAATACACAGAAGACATGGGTGTTTGATAGCGAATCGAGGCCAGTGTCTGTGCCCTGATGGTAGGCCTGCCCACAGAGGGCATGAAGACAAAGCATCAACATCTGAGTGGGCTCGCTGGACGGGCTGAGAGGCAGGCCAAGGAAGGAGAAATCCCTGTTGCTGGCCTGTGTGACCTCAAGAAAGTTGTTTGGTCTTTCTATTCATTCATTGTCCTTTTGGTATAGTGGGAGAGATGATGGGCTTTTGCCAGAGCTGTGATAGGTTTTGGGGTATTCATCGGCAGGGAGCTTAGCGTCTTTGCCTGGAAGGATCCAGGGGAGCTCTGGTACCTCTGTTACCCTCCCTGGGGGTTGGATGTCACATTAGTGCTCCCTGCCCCGGGACTGGTCCCAGCACGCCCACCTGCACAAAGTCCTTCGTTCCCGAGGCAGGGCCTGTGTTGTCAGGCCTGAGGAAGGAAGGCAGGCATGCTTCTCCAGAGCTCTTTCCTCTGGGTGGGACAGACTGATCCTGCAGGCCTTGGGGAGGCAAGGCCAAATGTCTGCTCTTCCTGCTTGCCAGGCCGGGATAGGATGCATGAACATGCCGACTTTTCAGTGCCTTTCTGTCTTTTCTGGTCCAGGTGTGGAAAAGGGAAGCTAGAAGATGGGGATGGCATCAACCTGAATGACATCGAGAAGGTCCTCCCAGCCTGGCAGGTAGGTGCAGGAACAGAGTCTCCAACCCCCTCAGCCAGGTCCTGATCCTCAGCCTGGGCAGAGCCTACCTGCTCTTTTGGCCCCTTGCTCCAGCAGTGGTAGATGGGCAGGGGTGGGTGACCTGCCGAGGTCCAGGGTGTCCCATGGTGATGCATGTGGCAGCACGCTCTTGGCTATGCTGTAGGCATCGGCGGCTGGCCTGACATCCCCCAGAGATGAAATGAGGCCATGCTCTGGCAACTCGGTGCACTTGGAAATTTTTTGTCCCTTGACCTGAAATCTCTGCAGGTGAGGCATCCTGCATTGTGTTCCAGTGGGGCTGGTGGGGCTGCTGGCATTTCCAGCGTGGTCAGGGCTATTTTTAGGCTTTTGAAAAGTGGAGTTGTCCTGCCAGCCTCCAGGTGTCCACTGTGCTTGCTGATTTTATCATCAGTTGGGCTCCTTTCCCTGAATTGAGCCAGGCTCTGGGACAATAGGATCCACTCAGCAAAGAGAAAGCAGATCTGAGTCTTTAGATGCTTCTGGTGCAGAAATAGTAGGAATCTGCATCCAGGTATGGGGTTGGGACCTGCCACAACAGAGTGTGAGCCAGTCTCCTAGGTGACTGAGCCTGCTCTGCCAGTGACCTGCCACCACACTCGCCACGTCACCCTTTCCTTCTCTCCTGAATCTCATGCCACTTCACCTGCACCCATTCTCTTCCTGCTCCTTTTGTGCTTGTCCCATTTTGTGGGTTCAGTGTTCATGCCTTGGGCCCGTTAATGAGAGACAATCGAATGTACAGTCAAGGTCTCAGCAATCTGAAGAGGATTGTGCCTTGAGCTGGTTTTTCTTTGTTTCTTCTACTTGGCATTTATTGAGTTTCTTGGATCTGTAAGTTTATGGTTTTCATCAAATTTGGAAAAATTTCAGCCACCGCCTCCTCCCACCACTGGGATTCCAGTGATATGTCTGCTGGGCTTCTTCATATTTTTCCCATGGCTCACCAAACTCTGCTTAATTTTTTTTTAAGTCTTTCTTCTCTGTGTGCTTCATTTTGGTTAGTTTCCATTGCTATGTCTTCAGGTTCACTAGTCTTTTCTTGCAAAGCCTAGCATACCATTGATACCATCCAGTATATTGTTCATTTTGGATGTTGTATTGTTCTTGTCTAGAAGTTCACTTTTGATCTTTTTTCTCTCTCTTCCATTTCTCTCTTCTTCATGCCCATGCTTTCCCCAATCTTCTTGAGCATAAGAAATATATTTATAATAACTGTTTTAAGGTTCCTCTCCACTAATTCTGTCATCCATGTCATTTCAGTGTCTGTTTCTATTCATTGATTTTTCTCCTGGATATAGGTCATATTTTTCTCTGAGTGCCTGGTGATTTTAGATTAGATGCCAGGTATTAGGAATTTTACATTGTTGGGTGCTGGATTTTTGTTGGTCTTCATTTAAACATTTGTGGCATTGTTCTGGAACACAGTTAAGTTACTTCCGAAGACTTTGATCTTTTCGAGGCTTGCTTTTAAAGCCTTGTTAGGTGGAAGGCCTTTAGTCTAGGATACATCTTATTCTACTACTGAGTCAATACCCTTCTGAGATTGCTTCCGAATGGGAGTGTTTCTACCTCATCCACTGGAAACATAGACTATTTCTGGCCCTTGTGTGATCTCAGGGGATTGTTCTGTCTATTCCTTTCAGGAAGCCTTCTACTGGCTCTGGAAGTTTCCCCAATCTGCAGATTTCTGGATTTCTCAGGTGCTTGGCCTTGCAAACTCTAGTTGCCTCAGACTCCCTGAATTTTGAACTCTGTCCCCATAACTCATTGAGACCATTTGGCTCTGTGTAGGCTACTCCCCCTGTGTTGTAGACTGCAAATTCTCTTCCAGGTACCAGACTGGGCACATGTAGGGCTCACCTCATTACAAAGGAAAATGTGTGACCTTATGGTGGAGAAACCTGCCAGAGTCTAATTTGACCATATGATGGAGGTTAAGGTCATTAGCGACAGGACAGGTAGCCACCACCTGCTGTCTGGTGTGCAGCACAGAGAAATCCAACATCCTTTCTGAGGGGCTTCCTGCTAAGAAAGCACGGCTTGAGTCTGGTCACAAGGAAACAAATGTAGGGACCATTCCCTAAAACAGCTTGCATATGAAAGACAGGAAAAGACCGAGGAATCTTCCAGGTTGGAGGGGCCTAAAGAGGCAGACTGAATGCCACGTGTGTTCTTTGCTGAGATCCTGGACCAGAAGACTTTATCGGACAGTTGGAGAATGTGAATGGGGATCTGTGGGGCAAGGGGAGAGCAGTGTTGCGTGGGTGTTGGTGTCCTGACTTGAAGTGCCGTATGATGGCTATAGAGCCAAGTGTCCTTGTTTTTGAGAAATACGTGGTAGAGGATTTGAGGGACGTGGGGCTTCCTGTCTGCAGCCTGTCCTCGAATGTTTAGAGAAACAAAAAACAATGGGTATGTAGATAGATGGAATGAAGAGCAAATGGTGAGCTTTAACAGTCAGGGAATCTGAGTGAGGAGCATAGGGAAGTTCTTTGTATTGTCCTTAACAACTTTCCTGTAAGTTTGACAGAAAAAAGAACCGGTATCCTCAGCCATGGTGCGTAGGTCAATGGCATGGAGTATCAGTGCATGAAACATCCTCTGGGTTGGATCTGTATTAAATTATCACCGCTAATGTAAAGCTAGCTTTGGTGCAAACAATAAAAGGATAAAGTACTCAGAAATTACTATTTTATTGCTCCATTCCTAAATGCCTACAGCATTCACTGTTGATAGAAAAAATCATCTGAGAGACACAGATCCAGGTGAGGATCCAGATTCCCCCTGCCCTAGGTGAGGTGTTGACCCTTCGGTGGCTTTTGAGCCAGAAGCCTGGGACATCCTGGCCAGGAAGCTAACAGGTCTGACCTCTTTCTCCTATCTGGCGCCTGTCTCCTAGCTCCCTGGGGAGCGGAGCAGAGTGCAGGGCCTTTCATTTCTGCTCAAAGGGCAGGAATAGCTGGGCCCCTGGCTAGGAGGGAGGCAGCAGAGCTCAGGGGTTAAGGGCTTGGTGTCTGGACCCCAGACATGGACTTTATGGAATCCTGGCCCTGCCACTGACTAAGCAGGGAATCGGGCTAATTACTTATTGTCACTCTGCCTCAGGTTCCTCCTGCGTAAAATGAAGGTAATGGCAATCTCTACTTCATAGGGGCATTGACGAAGGTTGAGTACTGAGTTCATGTGAAGCATTGAGAACAATGCCTGGTGCGTAGCAGGTGCTCCCCCGCTCTGATGGTGGACTCCCATAGCCTAGTTAGGAGGTGGGAGAGGGAGCAGTTCCCTGTACCCCACCCTGTGCACTTTTCCCAAGTGACCTCCCAGGCAGTGCAGAAAGATTGCACTAGAAGTCAGGAGACTCAAGCTATAGACTTCTGCCCCAGAAGAGCTGTGTGACCTCCCCTCCCTGGACCTCAGTTTACTCATCAGTAAAATGACTCAGTTGGACTAGATCACAGGTTTGCAAACTGTGAAGCTCCTGGGTTTTTCAGGGGTGCCTTGGGGGTGCTACTAGGGGTGGGGAGTAGGGAGGCTGGAGAAGCAGGCTCAGGGGCCTTTACTTGGGCTCACCCAGAACTGCTCGCCTGGTGTCTCTAAACCAGTCTACTGTGAATTATTTCATTTGAGGAAATGGTTCTACTACTAAACAAATGGTGAAAATCATCAGGCCAAGGCCCCCTTCAGGTTACATATTCCATGTTTTCTCTCTTTCTTCCAGGGAGCAATAAGTCAGCAAGCACTCCTGGTTCTCCGGGGCTGCGTCTGACACTTAAGCAATTAGGGGCTACTGGTAGTGGAGGTCTCCACTTCTCGTCTCCATGTGCAACGTGGGCCCACACAATAGCAGGGCTTTGACACTCACACACACACACGTGCCACTTTGAATCAGCTTTGCTCCCAGAGTTTTCTGGATAGGCCCCTAAACCCACGGTACTGAATCTTGGCTGCACATCAGATCTGCCTGGGAAGCTTTTAAATCTGCAGCTTTCTGGCCTTACCCTAGACCCACTGCATGAATTATCTCCTGCTGCATAATAAATAGTTCAACATCTAACAGCTTAAAAAAGCAGACATTTACCATCACACGTACATTCAGAGGGCCAGGAATCTGGGAACAGCTTGGCTGGGGGTTCTGGCTTAAGGGGGTCTCTCCTGAAGTTGTAGTCAGGCTGATGGCCAGGACTGCAGCCATCTGAAGGCTTGACTGGGGCTGGAGGGCCTCCTTCGGTCACGGCCCCCTCACACGGTTCCCTCAGTTCCATCTTGGTTGTTGGCAGAAGGCCTCAGTTTCTTGCCACGTGGGCCTCTTCATAAACTGCTGAGTGTCCTCACAACATGGCAGCAGGCTTCCTCCAAAGCAAGTGATCTGAGAGAGACAGAGAGCATCCAACATAGAAGTCCCCTTCTTTTATAACGTAATCTCAGAAGTGACATGCTATCACTCTACCACATGCCATATGTTGATTGCAAACACACCAACCCTGGTACACTGCAGAAGGGACTGCACAAAGGTGTGACTGTCGGGAGGCAGGGATCATTGGGGCTGGTGACCACGCCCACTGAATCATATCCAAGAATCTGTATTTTTTAAAGCATCACAGGACATTCTGCAATTTTATCAAAATTGTCAATAAGAGTTGAAATCCTAGAGTTACAGATGATAATGCTCATGACACCTCTTCTTGGGTGTTTGTACTTCATAGGGGTACCATTAGGGCAGGGCTGACAGGCTTCCTGATCCCAAAGCAGAGCTGTGGTGGTAGAATTTGAGGCCCTAGGAGAGCACATTGGGATGATTTTTCTGAGTTTTCCTAGCATTCTTCAGAGCCCCTCACAGACAGGGCTGGCTGGCTGAGTTGTCCAGCTTTGGGTCCTCAGGGTCAGCTAGCCTAGCTATTGGCATTTGGGTTGGGACAAATCTTAACTGGATGAAAGTGTCTGATGCAATGTAGGATATT